CACTTGAAGTCATACCTATACAACTTAGATTTTCACATTGACTTTACAATCTCTAATACAACTACAATTTCATAACGGTATTATCAGTTTTACTTTTGGAATTCATATGAAAAAAAAATATATCATAATAAGAATACACCAAGCACAGGCTCATAATATTAATGAAATAAAACAAAAGAATAATGTTATTATTATATTATATCAGGTATTTGAATATGACATCGATTGAGACACCTACAATATTATTTATATAACTTAATACGAGACGCACATCATCGTAATAAATAATGGTATATAAATATACATATGACACATACACACATTTATATATAAATATAATATATATTTACAGCACATAATACATAGTATATAACACATACATAAGTATACATACGTCATTGGCGGCAGTACATAAAACATTATTATTGTTTAATTACTATACATACACACATACGACTGTAATGATATATATAATGCATTATATATATTATATAATATGTACAATTGATACCTATATTATATTTAATACGCGGTTGATCTCTGCTCGGTATAATTAACGATCTAAATTATATTATAATATTTATCTCTATTTATAGCTTAATGTCACTTAAAAACTATTATTCTCTTAAATCGAAACCACGACGTCAGCGGTATATAGGTTTAGGAATACCAGGCACAACATCTGTGGTAGGGGATGAGAATCGTGAGGGCGCGAGACCGGCACGACTGCACTTCATACGACAAGTTGTATTTCATCAAGTGCCTAATGGCTAATTGTATACTATGGTGTCGTATAGTGTAGGTACATATAATTGTACATCGTAATAGGTAAATATGACGTGCGTTCGTCTATAGGTAATATACACACCATCAAATATTAAATAGGAAAACATGTCCGCCGACAATACGGTACAATTTCGCAAAAATGGGTAATATTCGGTGTTGTGTACAAATGAGGATAGTTTTCACATTTTATTGTTTAAATACTAGAAAAAAAAAAATTACACAGAAGTATTTCTCAAGTAGTGATAGTACCTACATCACAATAAATAATGTGTTGTTGATTATAATACTCAAAATTGTTACGCTTTATAGAAATTACATTAAATTGTAGATTTTTAAACCAAAAAAAATTGTGAGCCAAAATTTCGATATTCAATACTACATGTACATATATTTCTTATAAAGTATACAAATTGTACTTGGAAGAATCATTTTGATATTGAATACAACTAGTGTATGCTATGTAAGAAAAGTGTTTGAATACATTTTAAATTCAAAATATTTCTACTTGAATATCATTCTAAGTATAATAAATAAATAATACATAATCGGATATTGCCGTAGACTTTGAGTAGATACTTTAGCACAACTATAGGTCGTTGAATGCTAGAGAGACTTCAGCTCCCACCCAAACTTAAAATTAGCAGCCCCCTATAAAAATGTGTAAAAAGCTTCAATCTAATACTCGAGTTCTCTTCGTTTTGATCATTTTATCTGGATACGGTTAATCAAATACCTAATGTCATTTTGACGTGTCCATGGAACACTTTAACCGTAATACGTAAGTACTAAAAAGGTTACTACTAAGGGCCTAAAAAGTATGATTATAGGATATTTGACTTCACGATAGTCGTGCGTCACAAGGACATATACTAAATATTATAGAGCTCGGATGAAACCAAAAAAGCATACAAGGGGAAAAATCTAGAAAACACTAAAAACTAAAAACGCGTTCGGAATGACGACGAAAATACAATTGAAAAAAAATATTATTTTATCCTACATATTATAAGGCTAATAGGTGGGTCCTCAACATTACCTAACAGTAAAAGGTCACTTCATGACATTCTCGGTTCTCAGGCGACGATTGAAAAAATATTGCGAAACTTTTCAATAAGAATCGAGAACAAGAAGAACTGTTTAATACCTGAGTACCAAAAAAGCCACCGGGAGCACTAACTTAATTAGCCTTAACTCGTACATAACAATATGTAACATGTCTCTGTAACACGCAGAAAAAAATTGTCACATTACATTATTATACATCAACAACAACACACTTACGAACTAAGTCTTAACAGTATAGGTATGATGATTATAATAAACACATGTGCGTACATTTTATAATTATTGTGAGAATTATCTCATGCAGCGCTTCAGATCGATATTAATATTATATAGTTGCAAGTATAACAATATTATTTCATTAAGTATACAAGAAAAATAATCTATCCATACGTACTTAATTTCCACAAATCGATAATTGCTATTATATTATAAGATAGTCTTTTTTATATAAAGTCTATTAAAAATCTATCAGCAGCAAACTTGAATTTATTTATCACTACATTTAAAGTAATACAAGTTACAATTTTACATCAAATCTTAGGACATGGATCAAAAATTACAAATTATATTTAAATACTGACATTGAGGGTATAATAAAAAAATAATAAAAACAATGATATTATATTATATGTGTTTACTGTGCCTCTCTATTGTTGACAATTAATATATTTCTGAAGTCAGTTGCTATACAGTTAAGTTTTTTTGGTAAGCAAATCTTATATTTTCATTACAATGATGAATTTTATTACATAGGTATAAAATGAAAATTATTCAAAAAATTAAAACGTTTCACAATAATATTATAGATGATCAGAATACTAAATGCGTATAATGTATACAGGAGGAAAAAAACCAGTAGATTATCTATGATAGGATTGAAAATGTTTGAATTAAAATATTAAATATCAGTTGAATGTCTTTTTAGCAACATGAGAATAATTCACAAAATATTACACAAAAAAAATATTATTGATGAAAAAATGTTGCCAAAAAAACATTTATTTTTCGAGCATTGTTAAAATAAATGCAAATTTAATTATTTTAGGTAAAAAATAAGTGACCTAACATTTTGTTACATAAAAAAAATAGAGTCATTACAATAATAATAACTGTAATTAATAAGTAAAACAAGATTTTCAACAAATATTTGTCAGAACTTCTCTATGGTGTTGTACACAAAAATTTGAAAATAAGTTAGGAGTAGGGGGTGATATATTTTACGTACATAAAATAAACTAAGATGACAAATAGCTAAGTAATAAAATAATAATTCACAACTAATCTTTGTTTCAATACATTTTCTTCTTATTACTTTTTTCAGTTTATCATTTGTTCATAAAAAATAAATAAGAAAAAATGTAGTCATGGGATTTGTTTTTAACAGATTATTATTTTCATATGAAGTCAATGACATATGTTAAAAGAAGATAGGTACAGTAATTCAAATTATTTACTGTTATTGTGGTACAAAAGGTGTAGTGAGTGTTCGTAGCATGTACGTACGCTTAATATATTGGCGGTTAATGTTTTTTGACGGTTTTCAACCGACGTTGAGGCTACCTTCGACCAATCAATCCATTAGAATTGTTTTGGTGTGCATTTGGCGATAACTCGAATTCCACTAACAACGGGAAATGATCTGAAAATTAAAATGTCATATATGAATTACAGCCATTGAAGTAACTGAAACTGAATGATGTGTTCCAAAAGATATTTACCAGATGGTATATGAGGATGTGGACAACCGAGTACTTTATTGTCTTTGAACCATTCAGGAGCTAATGGGCCGAGCAAACCGAGAGGCGTCATTGTCTGTCTAGTGTAGAAAATATAATCAATGATGCCTTTAAAGTTGAATCTAAAATATAAATTTTAAATATCAAAAAAAGATCAATGAAACTACATTTTCATATAACACACGTATAATTTGTAAATGGCATTATGTTTTCGTAAGCAGATGACAACTTAAAGGAATGCATAAACTCGTTGGGTCTATCGCATGTAGAAATTTTATGCAGAAGTGTCTTGTACTGCAGATCTTTAAAGTCTTGATGATCTGATGATACTTTACCAGCAGACAAAAATTCAATTACTCCTAAGTAAATAAAGGACAAATGAAAACAAATTAAAGTTAAATCCAATAATAATAAACACACAACTACACAAGTAAAAATAATTGTATACCGGAGTCAGGCAACGAATTGAAATCCCCACACAATAACAGCTGTATTGGAGGTTGATGGTGATTCACATTACGGTAATTGCGATTAGCATCTTCCAGTATAGTATTCAGTTCATTTGATAACATCATGATTTGTATGAGCTTGACATCACAAAATTCAGGATCCCAATGTATGTGTGCGGTGCAAACAAGTATGGGCTGTTGGACTTCAGACGGCAGAGCTAAATAACAATGTATACTTAGTAAATTGTATGCACTCCAGCTTATAATATTTACACAATAATGCAAATTTAATTTTAAACATTTACAGTATTGTTAGAAAATGGCAGGTGCAGGTAACCAAACTAAATTAATGTGGTTAAACATTTTTTTACTATTTTTTATTCACAAGTATTCACCTACATTTATATTAAGTTATATTTATTTTATACATTTATATTCATATTACTGCTTGTAACTCATCAGTTGTCAACAAGAAACAATCTTAAATTCCAAGTAAAAAATAATATTATTTTTTTAGATTTCTGAAAAATGTTATAAAAATTTAATAAAAAATTCAATAATTTGTCAAATAGAATTTTATTGTTTTACTTAAATTTCATATTTTAATTTATACAGCAGTTATACATACTATTTAATGTTTAAACATGACAGCAAAGACAATACCTACCTAAAATCAAGCAGCTAAATTCTTCACTACTTCACAACTATCTACTTTGCTCCTATGTATTAATTGTTTTACGAATAAGAAATATACGTGTTTATTTATAAAATAAAATCCATAGGGAAATAAGATATGTTTAACAGTGAAGTAGGTTTTTTTTTCACAGTGCTGATGTCTCACCTGATGATTAATGATGAAACATATGTTTTGTTCAATGAATGTGAACTTGAAAACTCTTAAGCTATATTCGTAAGATATCACAGTGAACTGGTATTGTAGAAATAAACATTGTACAACGTTGAATATTATCGTATATAAATATATTAAAAGAAAAAAATATGTATAATAATTATAAGTAACATTTAAATTAATGAACATTAATAATTTCAATACAAAATAAACAGTGTGTATAAACCGCAGATGATTGCACACGGGTAGGCCATTAAATATTTCTGATCGGAGTTGCCGAACATGGCAACAAACACCCTGGCTGCATTCATACTGCTCCAGACCACAGCTGCCAACACGATGATGGCGCCAAATATGTTCTTGAGGTTAACGAACACGGCAAGCAACGCCACCAGTACAACAGGTGTAAAAGAGTATCCCAGAACAGAAAACGTGGACGTCAATGTGACTTCTGACGAATCAGTCATGGCCCAGAGTAAGCCATACATGCACACTGATGTTAACACGGCCAATCCGTATATGTAGCTGAACATTAGCTTGCCACCGGCCAACAGTAGTAACGATGTGTACGTCAGGTACAAAGCAATAGGTCCAATCACGTCATAATCACCAAGCACGACACCACACTTGCCAGTCGGGTCCAGCGAGTGCATCAGGCGAATGATAATTTTGTTGAGGTCAATGCCGAGCTCTTCAAGTAGAGGAGGTTCGTCTTCCTCACCGGTAAAGTTCGTAGTAGGTGCAGGCTGCCATGACGAGGCCCCTGGCTGGTTCAACTGGGCTGGTTGCGAATAGCTGTCAAAACTCTGATCGTAGTTGGAATACGAACCGGCGTGGAAGTTGAGATTGTCGTCGGACACGAAGTACGAGTTGTCCGGGTAGTATTGATTGGGGTTCATGGTTATCTTCGGCCAAAGACTTATATAATTTTGGTGTGGGGATCACAGATGAAACGAACACACTCCGCGAGCGGACCGCTAAAGATGTATCGGAATCGGTGACATGACATACCACATACGCGATCCAGAAACGGCGATTGTAGCGTAGGATACACAAAAAATTGTCGAATAACAAATTAACAACACGATAATAGATAACGTGTGCGTATTCGATGATAACAAACAGGGTAGCCATGCGCGGCGACGAAAACGTCGTGACGTACAAAACCGGATCGACGGGAGACTGCGATGTTCGTTGATCTTCCGCCGGCTTTGGTGTCGAAATATTTATCAATATTAATTATTATATTATTATCTTTAAACGGGTTTATCGTTAATCGGATTAGGTGGTAGGTACTACGCGAAACGACTAAACGAGATGCGGCAATTTCGGCACAAAGTATTGTGCAAGGTGGATTTCCGGTTTTCGGTCTGTGTGCGGGATGAAGATAATAACGGTTTCGCAGGTGGCCGGACTCGCGATTTTGATCTTTTTTTTGCTAAACGTTTAGGATTTAGACCGGCCACTGCAAATTCGGTGGATATCGACCGCAGGTGTCGGAGAAATCAGACACGAATACAATCGTTTTTTTAAATTTATTAAACTACTATTTTTGTCGCGAAATATATACGTGAAAAAAACCCGTTTGCGAGGCACACGGTATATTTAAATGAATAATATAATATTAGCAGGTTAAACTATCTCCAAATATCGACCGAAATCCGTCAATACGTGTTGCCATTTAGATGATTTAATCCCCGAACGTCGCATGGTACATAAAATATTAATATACATATAATACTGTGACCATTAGTAAAAAAAAGTACATTTTAAATCTTAGCTCCTCTATCATGTAAATACGTTATTTATATTATGTATAAATGTATAATATACAAGTATAGTAGTGGTTCATTCATATTCTAGTGAAAAAACATTGTATGGTACTAAATAATAAATAGGTACCTAATGTTCTACTACTAATATGCATGGTGCATAAACGTATTAGGTCAAACCATATATGAATAATTAAATAGTGAAAAATAATTATATTATTAAAATGTAGCATATTTGAAAAAAGGGAATAATGCTATGAACTTATCACAATCGTTAAGGACATTATAATAATTTATAGGACCAAAAAAGTAATTCTGCTCACCATATTATACATATTATGACACACAATACACATAGGGCATATACGCGTAAGCCTTACTGCGGGGTAGGAAGAGCTTATTAGAAGCTCTGCTAATCTTTGATCATATTTAGTACATTTTACTCGATCACATCACGAGGGTGATTTTTTATTATTGTAATACGCTTATTTACACCGCACACAGCGATTACCGAAGCATTGGTGAGTGAGACAAATTTACTATATCATAAAATAAACACTTATTATTATAGTATATGACATACGCGAGGCACACATTTTACTCTTTCCGTCCGAAATACATCGAAGCCAGAATGAAACCACCAAACACGCATGCCAATAATATAAAATATACGTACATTATGTATTATGTATACCGACACGACGACGATAACATTATTAATCGCACACGACGAAGTGTTATGATTTATAACGAGCGTATAATACACCTCATCGCGTGTTCGGGAAACGCAAAAACAAAATATTACATGCTTCGGCATTCACACGCGCGACGAATTCGAATACGTCCAGATATCCAGTCGCGACATCATGACCATATTATAATGATAATGGTATTAATATACAGACATACTGCAGTGTCGAGTTTAAGAGGGAATAGCGAAATTTGCGAATGTTTTAAAACGTCGGAGTGCAGGCGAGATTTTATACATTTAAAATAAGTATATAAGTAGTTTATAATAGGTGTAGTTACCTTCTAGATAATATTAAAATAATATGTCAATATTTACAAAAAGATAGTATAGAGTGCAGATATCTATTTAGTATCTACGTGCCGATATTACTTTGATATCGACAGTTACTACGTGGCGTCGTTTTCAATCCATTAGGACAATATGTTTAATGTCGGATATATATGAGAATTGTAATCGAAATTTGGCTGCATAAGTTGTCGTCAGGGGAATGCACACGGTGAGTATCATTCCCCCCTTAAGCTTATTTTTGTCGTATAAACTATATGATAAAGCAATGAAAATATATATAACGTGGTCTGAAAGTAGTCAAAAATTCATAACCCCCCCCCCCCCTTTAAAAAGGCTGAGCACACCACTGGCCGTCGTGTTTATAAATGTATGATACTAAAATACGTAAGTTATAATTTATTTTATTAAAAATATTCCATATAGGATTTTTATAGAGATCAAGGGAGGGATCAAAGTAAATATATTACACATTTAACAAATTCATAAAAATCTTAAATATAATCCAAAGCCCCAGAGAAATTGTTGGTTGGTAGGGGGAAAACCCCTTCACCGCCCCCACTGCGTAAGCCATTTTTTTTCTCGTATCATACACGTGTGTGTTTGTGTTTATAATACATAATATATTACCAACAATTTACACACCAGTTTGCAAGACACCTACAGCTGCAAGCAGGGTGAAAAATAAAAAAATATTATTTTAACATAATAATAGCCAAGCATTTAATGTGTACGGGCTAGTGATGTAAAAAGAAAATTCCCAGGAAACAAATGTGTATATTTGTTATTATTTACATACATTTTGTTGTGATAAAATAGCAATAATATGAATCCTAAACTAGCGCACAAATATTAAATATTATCACTACCTCCGACACATTAATTATGATAAAAACCAAATATTTAAATTAATAAAACGTGTGTAGTATATTTTTAAGTTCATGAAATATATTGTTAAAAATTCGAAGAATATTTCTAATTTTTACACATATTAAGTAAAAATGTAAGCTTTATAAAAAAATAAAATTTAATTTACAGCAATTTCTCCTAGGAAATTTCTTGAAAACTTATTAAATTTCTGAAATTCTACATCACTGGTTCTGGCCATTGGATGAAAGCAGGGATGGGGAGCTAGTAGTGAAGTGCTGCTGTAAATGTGTTGTAGACCACTATAGAACAGCAGGTTAAATATGATAAAGATTTCCAAAAAAAAAGAGTTTAGCGAAAAAACGAAAAAGTATAGGCGCACGACTGTTATACCTAAATAAAATATGTATTTATATATTATATATTAAAAGCAAACCGCGAGGAGATCGTCAGAACGTCAAATTCGATTCTGTAACACGAGATATCACAGACAATATACGGGATTGGAATCATGCAGTTCTGGTGACTGTAAGGAAGGGATAAAATTGGGGGAGGAACCGCAGGCCCAGATTTTTCAAAGAGCCTACCTGGATTTTTGGATCAACTCAAATTTATATTCAAAAAGGTAATTAATAAAGTTAATATTAAGGTCTGCATTGTTCAAGGGCCATTTTTGATGTTGACTGTTTCATACGTTTAGCATAAACATTAAAAATTGCCTGAAAAGATATATAGAATAATAATCCAGTGCTACGCTGACCAAGTAACAATATGTATCGTAGTAGATACTTTTTCCGTATTGATGGACTACGCACATCTTCTGATCGGTCAGTAAAATGTTTATTATATATGAGTATGATAACTCCATAAAACGGAATAATACCCATGTCAAGCAATGGCGGTCAGCTGTGTATCACATACATGTTATCATACCATATTAATACATTTATTGCTCCACTCAGAATCTAAAATTTTGGTTTGAAACTTATGCGTAGGTGTGTAAAAATTGTAGTTCCCACACTTTAACTCCTAAATGAACATACCGGCAGCCAAACAACTAGGTAATCCAGTTGACTCCACAGTCCAAAACAGTCAGATATTTTATCTCCACGGCTCCACTCAGTCCCTGGCTGCAATTATGTTGTAAGGGGTGAGGAGTCATGGACAGATATAAATAATAAATGATAGCTGAGACCTTTCTATGTACGTCCATCTTATTGTAATAGATTACATAATTTTTTTTAACGTATGACTCGTAATTAGGTAATAATTAAACGAATTAGCGCCCGTGCAGCACTGTCTCGAACATATAATGTACTTGGCTGTTAATACAATAAATAATCTTACTCGAGACACGCTTGTCGTTGCAGTGTGTATACTTGAGAGTGGAATTAAATAATCGTTTTCTCAATTTTATTATTTCGTTCATACAAACTATATAGGTTGGTACGACGACGACCACCGCGGCACATATATGATAAATAATAATAATTATACGTTCTATATATTCGTTAAATTGCGTATTATGTATAATAATACATTATCTCTACTGCATCATTGCGATTTCACGCTGAACAATTAAAATTAATTTCTTACGCCGCGGAGACAACTATATTATGGTCTACTTACGCGTGTACCGATTAACACCTACGACAGATTATAATGTATTATAGCTATGTATTTTGTGATAGCATGTGCATTGTACGCAATTCGAAGAAATCAATGTAATAAAAGCGATCGGTCAGTTGCATTCTTGATGGCAACGGAAATTTCGATTTTTAACAAACGCATTGTGGTGCAGTGTTTGAGTTTATATTGGACAAGCATAGAGAGACGTAGATTTTTTTGATTTGTTTTGTGTCGTACAACACAATCTATTGCATCCGAAACGTGTGGTAGCGCGCCTCGAGATGTGACGACAGCGGGATGAAAACCAGACGATCCCAAGGCACTATACTACAATACGCACATTGAAAAGAAAGCATTTTTTTATAAATACGCATGTGTATACATGTGATATATCATATATATGTGTATGAGGATATGCATTATAACCACGGTTATCTACAACGTGTAGATAACCGTGATTATAACGTACCTATTAGGGTTTTTAAAATCAAATTGCGTTCATACACAACTATATCATTATAACGATCATTATAAAAATATAATACATCATTTTCTACGTATTATTTTAAAGGAGTGCGCGATTGAAACCGAAATCATTGTAGTAAGTATATTATTATAATATACGCTCTTATTATTGGAAATTACGTCAAAATACGCGTGGCTTATAAAATATAATATATACCTACCTGTCCTACCTATACTCAGGCTCAGTGTCCGTCCGGAGCAATATATTGACCTATTCAATTGCTAATGACGACCCCAGGGCCCTACTGACTTTCAC